GGACGCCGTCGGACGGCGCTCTGGGGCAGCGGGGGGCGCCCGAGCCCGTGGGCCCCGGCCCTGGTGAGTGAGGCGCCGTGCGCCCAGGGCGCAGAGAACGGCCCTTCGCCTGTCCCCGCCGGGCTCCGATGTCCCAGCCCAGCGGCGACCCCCTGGATGCCAAGGCGGCCTCCTGCTTAGCATGCGGAGGGGTGGGGTCTGTGTCCCCATGGCCCTCGCTGCTGAGGGTCCTCGGGTGACTGAGACACAGGCCCAAGCAGGGGTGGCAAATTCTAATGCCCACAGGGGCCAGGCAAGTGACATTAATGGCAGCAGTAATAATTAGAGCAAACACTCGTGCTGGGCACTGCTCTCTATACGTTTGTTATCAGGACAAAGATGATGAGGACAGACAGGAGTTAAGTCCCTCCTGTGAGGCACGGTGCTACTTCTACAGTCACTGTCATTATTTCATTTAATCGTCACCCATGTAGTGAGGCGCTGTTATCCCTGTTCAGAGGTGGTGACATGCCTAAGGTCTCTCCGGGGTCTGTCTGCGGGAACCCCGCCCAGCGGAGGAGGTGGGGGCAGGGCACGGGGGCGGGGGCTTGTCTAGAGAGGAAGCAAGGAGGCGGGCCCTGGAAGGTTGAGGACTGTGCCCAGAGTTGCCCCCAGATGAGCGGGCATTCAGGAGTGGCCGGGGCCTGGGTAAAGGTCCAAACCTTGCCGGAAAGCGGACCCAACAAGATAAGCAGATTTTTCAAAAGAAGTCAGAAATCCCAATTTTCCTGTAAACGCTCCTGGCTTTTAAATACCGCCCTCGGGCCCGCCCCGCTCACCTCCTCCGATCCTCTCTTACCAGGCCCTCGAGATCCCCTGGACTTCCCTCGCCTGCCCGATCCTCAAGCCCTGTTCCCCACCCGCCGCCGGCCCCCCGAGTTCCCTGGCCGCCCCACCACCCTGACCTTCGCCCCGAGACCCCGGCCGGCCGCCAGCCGCCCCCGCCTGGACCCCTGGAAACTGGTCTCCTTTGGCCGGACACTCAGCATCTCGCCTCCCAGCAGGCCGGACACTCCGGAGAGCCCCGGGCCCCCCAGCATGCAGCCCACGCTGCTTGACATGGACATGGAGGGGCAGAGCCAGGACAGCACGGTGCCCCTGTGCGGCGGGGCCCGGCGCTCCCGCTGAGGCCTGCCGCCACTGCCCTCGGGGCAGCCATGAATGTAGCGCCCCAGGCCCCGCCCCAGCCCAGCCGGCCAGAGGCGGGGAGGCCCTGGGCAGGATATTCGCTCTATTTATTGGGGAAGGGGGGAGGGGGGACACTTAATTTATTCCTTTGTACCCCAGGGGGTGGGGCCCTGCGCCCGCCCTGCAGTGGGGGGAGGGTGGGCCGGGATACTCAGGGACAGGGCATCGAGGGGGATTTGGCACAAAATGCAGCATTAAAGGTAACCCCTGCCCCCTACCGCGCTCGGCTGTGTCGTTCCCGGCCCAGGCACCACCCCGGGTCATCCCCTGTGTCCCCCCCCACTGGGTTTCTGAAGTCCGTGGGGTGAAGCGCAAGCCTGTGTCCCCTCCTGGGTCCCCACAAGAACACCACACAAAGAGGCCACGGTCACCAGTGACGAGTACTTTACCAGCAAACACACGAGTCAGGGGAAGTTACACGGTGAGGGGGGAGCGAGTGGAGGTGGGGACTGTCCCCCTAGGTCAGCCTCAGCCAACGACATCCCGAGTGCCGGCCTGGGCCCCACTGTCATCCCGCTGGAGGCTGCACCGGTTCATCTTCAGCTGAGTCAGCTGGATGTAGCGCAGGACGTTGGTGTCTGCAGGGGAGGCGGGCGGGGTGTTATCAGGGTGTCCCGCGGCAGCGGTGACATCTGCACCTTCGGCTCACACCTCATTGTCCCCAGCCTTCAGTGGCTCCCCACACAGCCGGCATTGTCAGGGCCCTTCTCCAAAGGCCCCAGCCACAAGGAACGGGGGCATTTCACAGCTCTGTGCTTGCACATATGCTCTGCCCTCTGCCAGGAATGCCTCCTCTCAGGGGCTCCCGTCACACTGCCACCAGCCTCCAGTGACATCTGCAAGAAGCCACTTCTCTCCAACCACTTACCAGGATGGCTAATCTTGCCTCTGCGCCCAACACCCTGTGTTGTGCTCCCTCGTCTCTGGCTCTCAATACAAAACTGAGTGTTGTGTCTGTCTGCCCACACACACACACACGCACACACCCCTCTCTGATCTCCCCGAGGGCAAAAAGCAAGCCTCCAGCTCTGCTAACCACCCCCACCCCGGGCCAATTTCCTAGAGTGCCAGGAACCAGGTGACTGAGCAGGTGAAAGTGTGACTGGGTCAGTGAGTGAGTGGATGAATGAGTGAGTGTGTGGGGGGCGTGTAGGGAGACAGGGCGCGTGGATGGAGAGGGAAGTGGCTGCTGGGGGGTGGGAGGCATCGGGACGAATCAGTGACTGACTAGATGAGAAGTGGGTGAGTGGACATTCAAATGGGAGGTGAGTGGATGGGGGGTGTGGAAGGAGTAGGTGAGTGGAGAGGTGACGTGGAGGGAGGGGTACAGCACTCCGCTCCGGGCCCGCCCTCACCTGTGGGCTCCCGGCTGCGGGCCTCCTGCAGGTAGCGCAGCGCGCGCGCATAGTCACCCAGGTGGTAGAAGGCGATGCCGGCGCGGTAGGTGGCCTTGAAGTTGCCCTGCTGCTTCTCCAGCACCTTGAGACAGTACTCGCGCACGCGCTCGTAGTTCACCAGCTCCGACTGCAGCAGGCAGGCTGCGGGGGCACCGGGACCCCTGGGCTCAGAGCTGCCGGCGCCCGGACCTCACCTGGCGGCCGGGCTGCGGGACCCCGCCCTTCCCCGCGGCGGAGCTGGGCCTGAGGGATGGCTCAGGCCAGCGGGCCGCCGAGCTCTGACCAATCCGAACGGAATCCATCTGCGCCGCCGCTAGAGGGCGCGAAAAACACAGGCAGGCGCTCTCCGCGGTTAGCTGGGAGCTTTCCATACCGGAGAGCGCTAAGGGCGGTCTCACAGGTGAGGGATGGGGCCTTGAATGGCTCATCCAGGGTAAGTTTTTGTCACCTGAGGCTCGCGGGTGGCAGCCCAAAGCTCAATTCCTGCGTCCCAGCTCCTCCCGTCTCTGTGGTCCCCCACACTTTCAACCTCTCTCGTTGATCAAGTTCTGAGGTCTCCCCACACAGACCCCAGCCCTGGCCCCTTCAAGCCTCCAGAGTCTCCCCCCGACCCCAAGCTTCATGATTGCCCCTCGCTCCCCACCCCTCTCGCATATGCACCCTCTGCGCCCCCCGACGGCCCCGTACCCGTGAGAGAGTCATAACATTCCACCTCCGTGTTCTCCACCAGGCGCCGCTGCTCCTCGCTGAGGCGGGCTGGCCCCGGGCTGGTGGCGGGCCCGGGGGCGGGGGCGGGCAGGCCTCCAGGGCGGGCCCCCTGCGCCGCCTTCAGCTGCAGCAGTGCCCGATGATACTTGCCGATGGCTTCCCGGAACTTCTTCTCTCGGTAGCAGCGCTGGCCCTCCGCCTTGAACGCCACGGCGGCCCGCAGGCTGCTGTCGAGCGCCGCGCCCAGGCCCCCTG